GGTACACATATTATAGTAGTAATAATTGGTTGAAAGTGTACAAGAATGGTAGTATGATTCTACAAGGGAATAAGGTCAAAAATCACTTGTACATGCTTGATTAAGGCTCAATTACTAGGATCTCTATGATGAAAGAAAAAAAAAAGGTAAGCGTGTTAGCTTTACAAATACTGTTGAAGTGTTTGAAAATTCAAGTCAAGGGAAGATTTGTTGGGATTTACCTTGAATCTCATAATCCCACATTGAAAGTTAGTGAGTTTTGAATTTGTCCAGTATCCTCGGGAATTTAGTAAAAGTATAATGGGGTTTCACCCTTATAAATAAAGTATTTTGTTTTTAGTTTGATAATCTCAGAGAGTTAGACACTAAGAGAATAGCTAAGTGAGTAGGCTATTAAAGTGTGTAATTGGGTTTTTGGTTAAGTTTTGAGTAAGGAGTTTTAGAAGACTTTTCTCATTCTAAAAGTCTCACTATTGTAAAGATTTATTTGTTAGTGGATTGTATTTGCAGTAGGTCATTTTGAGTTGAATCGAATCAAATATATTTGCGTGTTCTTATTCTTGATTTGAGCTTGCTATTTTGTGTATGGGTTCTACGTGTGAGTTCTGTGTGTGGGTGTTGATTTTTCCAACAATGTCACCACTTATGAAATGTAAAAGGAAACTGATTTTATTCTTGATTTGAACTTACTATTTTGTGTGTGGATTCTGCGTGTGGATGTTGATTTTTCCAACAATGTCACCACTTATGAAATGTAAAAGGAAACTGATAAGAATGTTATCAAACATGCAAACTATTCTACCTCTACTCTATCTTCCTATCTTTCTTAATCTTCTATCCATTTTTCTTTTAAAATACCTTTTTAACTTGAATGTCAAAATATGCCTCGATATCCTAACTTCAATACCTCTAATCTTCTTTTTCTCTCTAACTAATAGGTCTGAAAATTTCACCAAGTAAGCTTGGAGCGAGTCCTACTCTCACCACATACATATTCCAAAAATAACTAAGCAAGTATCTTAGAAATAACAACCATGGTGAGCAGTATCTTCTAATTAATTTTTCTCTGTACATATACTAATTGTTGGTGAAAGGACCATCTTCCATTGTTTCGCAGAACTTTAGAATAAATCAATATTTTACGGATAAGATATACCTAAACAGATTGAAAAAACCCAGCGGCAGATTCTTGACCAAGCATCTCTTTATTAATTAATTATAAAGCACTGAACCATCGATATTATTTGAATAATTGTGTCAAAATAGGACGTGGTTGAGGCAGCGGAGCAGATCTTCTACTGCTTTAGAAGCTTCGCAGAGGTCAAAAGGAAGAAGCTTCTTTTGCTAGGAGAGTCGATAACCTAATTAACCAAATACATAACGTCAATGTCTTTATATGATCTAGAAACTAAGACTTTGAAGGTTAGGGTTTTGTTACAATTTTCAAACTGTGATATGTGCATTAATTCTAGTTTTTAAATGTTGTATTGGTCAAGATATAACTATGTCAACTGATATTAATGCTTTTTGAAGAATATATAACAAGTAAATATGAAACCAGTAGGTTTTCATTGTTATTGACATTTAATTATTTAATATTTATGGAAATATATAAATTTTTTTTATATATTCAAGATTTTTTAAATTTAATTTTCCGAACGATCTTACAGGTGCAGTCTCTAATATTGGTTTTATACATTTATGATGATTTTACTTGTAGTGTTTCTTGTAAGTATCGAATCTCATTGACAGAAAAAAAAAAATCCTCTCTTTGCTAATTACATTAAGCCTTGTGATTTGCGAGTGATGGAGAAATATATTTAATATTATTAACATTGAATTGCATAAGAGATTTTAAAATTCTATTATAACTTATAAAAATTTTAAAACTTTTCACTTAAATTCTTAAAATAAAAATCCAAATATTGAGATATTGAAATCGTCTTTTAATCATATCCAAATATTGATTCAAGAGAAAAAAAAAAAAAAAGAAAAAAAATCCAAAAGATTGAGATATTGAAAAAGTAAACAATCTAGTAATGCATATTTAATGAAGAAAAGTTGCAGCTCATCAATGGTCCAATATTTCCATTATTTTGATGATCTATTACTATAATGATAAAAAATATTTTGGCTTAATTTAACCAAATATTTGTTGACCAATTCTTTTCATTTCCAAACCACTCCCGCTTAATTTCTACCATTGAAATTGCGTGTTCATCTGTCAGTATTGGAAGTGGTCGTCGACATTGATATCAGTGTTTTTTTTTTTTTTTTTGTGCATACGAGATTACTCGAATTTGTACTCTAATTATTAACAGTGACGAATGCATCTTTTTATGTTAAGGTGTTTATGAACATTCTAAAAATTAGAAAATTTGAAATTTGAAGGGAAATTTTCAATTAAACATCTCTAAAATTTTTCTATGGACATTAAAAAAAAATAGAAAATATGAAAGTTTAGAAGGAAATTTTTAACTGGACACTCGCAAAAATTCCAATAAACACCCCAAAAAATAAAAAATTTTAAAAATAATTTTCCGTTGGACACTTTAAAATTTTCTGGGATACCCCTTTCGTCAATAAAATTGATAAATTTTGTCAATAAAATTAATAAATTCATTCATGTATATATATATATATATAATATAATATAATATAATATGCGGATATTCTCAAAAATATTCTTGGATTTGTCACTTGTTATTAAAATTAAGAATTTAATATTTTATTAATAGATTATATAACTGTTGACGATCTCAATTTTTTTTAGTGGTTTAAAAGAAAATTCAAATTTTATTGAAAAAAAAAATTCTAAATTCAACTTCTTGAATAAATAGGAGATATATAAAAATCTAACAAAATGCTTAGTGGAGATTATATCTGGCAATTTGTGTTTTCGTATCGTGCTTCTATCATATTTGACATATATAATAATACGAATTATTAAAATACGAATACGACACGAAATATAAAATGTGTTTAAATCCTAAATATAAACATGACACATTTAATATACGTGTTACATGTGATACGATATGATTAATACTTATATAATTGATTCGTTTAAGCACGACATGAATAAACACAAATAATACAGATATACAAGAATAGACACGACTAACACGGATATACACGAATAGACATAACTAACATAAATATATACAAGAATATGACTAAAATAATAAATAATTATAAATTATCTATCATTTATAACTTAATAAATTTAATATATCAGTAGTATAAAAAAGTACTTATATATTACAAAAATAAAAAATTTTAATACTCATTTAATATATAAATTTAATATATATTTAAATTTTAATTTATATTATATAATTATATTAATTTTTAGTATAAATTTTAAAATGATAAATTATTAAAAATTAAAGAATAAAATAAAAATGTATAGAACTAATATTAATATTTAAATTGTATTTATATTATTAATATAAAAATAATTTTATAATAATTATTAAAGGAGTATTATAATTAAATGTTTAAAATAATTTTTATATGAAATTAAATAACTAATTAAGTATCATAATTAAAAGTTTAAAAATTTTAAAAATCTTTATTGTTTATATTAAATTAAAATAAATATAAAAAATATGTTAAATGGGTTTAACATATTAAACATCTATTCGTATAATAAAATTAAATTAAACCGTGTTATTTATGGCATGTCACGTATTTAAACGAGTTAACATATATATGATATAAATTGTATTGTGTTGAAATTCTTATTAATACGAATAAACATAAATTATATATTTTTTAAACATATATATAATTTTTCATGTTATTTTTATATCATATTATCGTATCGTATCTGAAATTATCAAGTCTAGTGAAGATGCCATATATTCCTATCATATCAAAAGTTTTAATTGTCTGAACTTGGTTTTGATTTTTTTGTTAGGTGTTTGTGTATATATTTCTCTTTACATTTTACACTTTTATTTTGTGTAAAAGGTGGAATTACATATCTTTATATTCGTAACAGTATTGACTACTAAAAATATATATAAAAAAAATCTAAAATGATTAAAGAGTTATTAATTAAAAACCAATAATTCAACTAAGTAAACATCATCTTGACAAATACATATGTACGACGTATACAGATAATATTATATAAAAAAAAGAAGCGAAATCGAACGCTTTGACTTTATATATGCATGAAGCTATGGAAGTAGGAACAAAAGAATTTGATGCAAGTTTCCAGAAGCAAGTACTGTGGGGTACGGTATCTTCAAAATTCACACCCTGCCATAGAAAAGAACAATACATTTAAGTTTCAAAGCAAAGACATAACTTGCATATGCAGATGACTTGATTAGATGTATATATGGGAAAAAAATCATTACGTGTTTTAAACGTAAGATTTTATGGTATGAACTCATTTTAAGAACCTAATTAGCTATGGAAATTATTTCGTAAAATAGTCATAATCATTGAATTTTAAATATAATTTAATTAATTTATATAATTATTTAAAAAAAAATCTCATTCAATAAATTTAAATATTAAATTTTAATACTTACAAACTCTTCTATTTTTAAGCTACAACTTTGTAAAAAAATTAGTCATAATCATTAGCTCGGCAATGACATCTCATTCGTTAATGTTAATAGCACTAGATATATTTAATAATTTTAAATACAATAAAATAGTACGACACAAATATAAAAAAAAATATAAAAGTTATATCATTTAAAATTTTAGTAAAAAGTTATATATGTGTTAAGAGGAAATAAAAAATATATATTTGATATTCAATATATCGATATGAATTTAACATGATAAATTTTTTTTTTAATTTTACATGCATTTAACATAATACAAATATAAAAATTGTCTAAGTCTAAGGTAATTTCTTCTTAGCCCTTAGTAGCTTTTACTTCCATGAAAATGAGGAGATTTAATTTGTCAAAAAATATATGCTTTGTACATAACATGAAGGAAATCAAAAGGATAAATATAGATAAAGAGTTTCCTTACTGTTGGAATTCAATGTTAACGGATGCAGCAGAGGGATTTGCAATGGCCCCAAATGCAGTGGTGGAAAGAACTATTGTAGCACCGTTGGTGGAAGGCCGAGACACTGATGTATCCGCTCGATCAACTATCCTTATTTGAATGGTTTCACTAGGATTGCAAGTTCCAGGGGTAGCCGCACTGATGCACCTTACCAAGTATTGCCGCCCACAGGAAGCACCGTTGTCCCATATTCCGTCTCCCGCTGCTGCAAACAAGTTGCTAGTAGGAAACTGGGAGACATCATTCCCGAAGCAGGCGGTGGCTACACCGTGAACAGACAACCCAAAAAATGAGGTTGAAATTAAAATTAAGAGAGTTAAAGAGTAAAAGTTGCAATATCTGACATATAGTAATGGCGGCCACTTACGAATATATGGGGTTGCTGTAATGGCTAGCAGTGCCGACATCAGCATAAGACAAATGGAAGAGCGTTGTTTGCAGGAGCATGAAGATGCTGAAGAATACCCATGGCTGCTGCAGCTTTACCATTTCTACTGCAAATTTGAATTATACTCTTTATGGTTTTTTAATAATCATACGCTAGGCGAGTTTCGAGTACTTTAAATAAGAATGGTGATCCTAATTTTTTGCATTTCTTAATTTTTTTAACGTAAATGTTAAATAATAAATTGTTGATTTTTTTAATAATATAATTGTAATATAATTTAAATAAAAAAATATATTTTAACGTAATATAAAATAATTTCATTAATAATGAATATAATTCAATAAAAGCGTTGAGCAAGTCAAAGAATAGTTTGTTAAAGTAGGACATAGAGATATAAATAGTGATAACTAGCAATCTAATCTAGCTTCGTTTCGGGTTAATATATTCGGGTCATGATTTTTTCAATATGGGCAAACAAATAATAATATTTACAAAATAATATCTTGTCAACAAATCAATAATCAATTGAAATTTATTGATGCATAAGCTAAAAATAAAAAAAATGAATTTCTAATGTTTCAAAACTAATAATAATTTATTAGGTGATTCGCTGCAGGAGTATGATAAAAACCAAGAGTATAATAAAGACATAATTTATCTTTTTAATTAACCGCAATAAAATCTTTGTTGTATTAATTACTCTAATTATTAAATATTCAACCGTGATAGTGATTACATTAGAATTCAAACTACTTTTAATTTTACAATGAATGACAAAAAATATTATTTAGTTTTTTATAATGGGAAAGTATATCAACAAAGTTTTAGAAAAATAAAATGAGATTGTCTATGCATTTAATTTACCAAATCACTATTATAAGAATATTCGAAGCAAATGCCACGAAATCCTATCTATTACACCTATTTCACTTATAAAAAGGATAGGAAGCTTATCTTTACAATCTTATATACACTTCTATTTAAAAAAGGAAGGATTGAAAGATAAATTTTAAAAGCAAATAAGAGTTCATTTCATTTTTAAACTTTTCTTAGAGAGTTGGAAATGCAGTTTTGATTCATTTATTGGAGACACACAATCTGATCAATTGTGGGCATAAAGACTTCAATCCATTCACTAGTGGAACAAATCAATAATAATCAAACAAAGAGAAACATTTAACGTGGTTCATCAATCAACCTACGACTACAATGAGAAAAAATTCATAGTTGTAGAGATTACAAAATTATCAATATGACCTTACAATCATACTCATAGACCCTTTCATCTCTAGTCTATGGAGTATTCTACCATAAAATATAAACTCAAACCCTTATGCATCTTTTCAATATAACCAAACACATACTCATATGCTCCCATACATCATACCTATATGGACCCTCTCAGTCTCCTGTAGTCCACTCACAAACAAACATATACACCCATAAGACGTAAAGCCCCAATACTCCTATAAGGTGTCTATCCCATAAAATCTTACAACTCTTTTACCCCTATTAAGAATCCCTCTCCTCTTAAAATTATTCTCCTGTAAGTCAAACTTACTTATTAAGAATCTTTTTTCTCTTAGGATTCTTCTTTTGCAAGTCTTTTTGTTCATCAAGCAATATTTGACAAATTTCAAATAAATCTCTAACAAATCCCAAATAAATCTCTTATAAGATTTGAATCATTATTCTCAACAAAATGAGCATTATCCTTGGCATCGGCCGGGTAAAATGGTAGAACCGCATGAGACGTAACACGGGCAAAAAGACTTATGCTGGTCGCAGATCTAATAGAACATGCCAGGAGGAAGTGGAAAAAGAATGAAATACAATAAATATTCTCCAGTGTTGATGCGAAACTGATATGTTGTATACCACTGGGATGCATAAGTAGGGAAGACCAGCGGATATGGGGTTTGGAAAGGAAGGAAGAGCATACCTTCTAAAGTGCCTATAGAGTACTCACTAGGAACAATGGGGATGGCATAGATGAAGGTGTAAATGATGGTTTTTGGAAGCTTTTATAGCAGCTCAACATGCCTCCAAAAATAAATATTTTTGGTTGGCGTCTTAACAATGGAATTCTGCCAGTGTTCAGCAACCTAAGGAGGAGGGGAATTGGTGTCCAGGACAGATGCCCAATATGCAGGCAAGAAGAGGAAACAATAATGCATGCGTTTAAAAGATGTAGGCTGGCAAGTGAAATCTGGAAAATGGACTGCTGGGGGGATGAATGGACAAATGCAGAGCATGAATGTGAGAAGAGGTGGCTGAGCAATTTATCTAAAAAGGGAGACAGAAACAGTTTGGAGGTGGGATTAGTAACTTGCTGGGTGATATGGCACAACAAGGATATAAAGAATAAGGTTCGTAGAACGGATGAAGAAACCATGGCGTATGTAAGACAATTTATGGAGGAATATGAAAAAGCTCAATCAAGGTCGGATGTGCAAATTATACAGAAGAGTACAAGATGGACAGCCCCAGAAGAAGGTTATGCTAAGGTAAATTTTGATGGAGCACTTGAAGTGGATGATTGTGTTTGTGGGATAGGGGTTGTAGTGAAGGATGAGTTGGGCAAAGTGTTAAGGGCATGCTCCAATAGAGTAACACACGTCAGAGATCCTATAGTTGCAGAAGCCCGAGCATTGTATACGGCGATGGAATTCTCCAAGCAACTAGGCATACAATCAATTATTGTGGAAGGAGATGCCTTGGAACTAGTGAATCAGCTTATATCCGAAGAGGAGAATCTGTTAATAATTGGAGAGCTCATCCAGAAGGCAAAGACTTTGAAGCAATGTTTCATTCAGTTCGCAGCCACTCATATAAAGAGGGAAGGAAATAAAGCTGCGACAGGATAGCAAAGCATGCAATCTCGTCACCAGCAAAGGTGCTACATTGGATCAATGAATGCCCCACTATTATCTCTGATGTAATATTGGCTGGAAGAACTATTAGCTAAATCAATGAATTTCTTCTTTCAAAAAAAAAAAAAAGTTTGGAAAATTATAAATTTTAAGTATTGGGAAAATATTTTTTTTCTAACAAAGAAATACTAAAAAGTTTCATTGCATTAAGGCAGCATTTTAAAATATAAGCAAATAAATATTTATGATGCATACTTTTTTGCCCTAAAATGTCAAAATAAAAATTTGCAAATTCAATTCATAGCAAAGAAATTAAAAAAAAAAATCCATAACAAAAATCAAAGAAAAAAAAATGAAAGGGTGTAAGATGTTTCTATGGGCTAGCTAGACACCATGGGGATTCATTCCCATTTGAAGTAGACAATTCTTGGCTCCGGTAGGATGGCGTGGATCCACCTCACGGAGATCAATCCCTATAAAATTTAAACGTGTTAAAAATATTATTTTACATTTGTGAAATTAAAAAATTATTTTAGAGCTAATTTAACATATATTTGCAAATATTTTGACTATATCTTTTTGAAAATAAGAAATGCTAAATAATTTGAGCAAAGTTTACACCTTCAAAACACTTTCAATAAGTCTTAATCACCAAAAATAAAACATGTCAAACTAAAAATATTTAACAAATGTATATATTTTAAATTTTTAAGAACTCAAAACCTATTTATTCTAAACTACCTTTGAACTTTGAAGCATCAAAGGTATGATAGATGACATTTATTTATAAAAATCATGGCTCTTTATTCTAACTTTTTCTTTTGATATGGGGTGGTGGGTAACAAAGCTTCCTCAAGTCTCATTTTTATTTTTATCACTAGTGTTCATTTTTGGGTGAATGAAAATTTAATTTATAATAATAACTTTTATAAAAATTATGGATGATTTTTGTTAAGCATTCAATTTAAAATGAATTGACAGTAAGTGAAAGAGCTCAACTTCGACTATAAAACTGAGATAACATTAATTTAACAAAATATCATTATATGTAGATAAAGATGAAAGAAATCTTTTATATGACAAATTAAAAAAAATAATAAAAAAAATCTTGATTCTGATTTCATGTTAAATATCAAACTCAAAATCAATTAACAGTAAGTGAATGATCTAATTTGAATATAAAATTATAATATGTATGATAATATCACTTTAATAATTTTAAGATTGTAATATGCATTTTTTAATGATTTAATTATTGATCTGAGTTTTAAACTTAATTAAAATATCGATATTAAAACTTAAAAGTAGTAATTTGGAAAGGATTAAACAAGTTTCATGGAATTTTTTAGTGAACTTATTTATAAAGAATTCGTGAAACTAGTTTGCGAATACAAATGAGTCAAACTTTCTATGTTCAAACTTGATTTGTTTATTAATTGAACTTAAAAATACGTCAGAATTTATTTGTTAAATTTTATAAATAAACATAAACAAATTTTAATCAAATTTATTTATGAATTGATATATAAATTTATTGCTTCATCTAGACGGGTCTACACGCGGATCGTTTGCGGGTTGAGATGCAGATTTTTGTTGTCAAAACATCGTTTGTATGGGCATAGTATGAAAGCCGAAAAAAGTTGATTTTTCTTAGGCTGCCTTGGCCCCTTTTCTCTCTAATCCAGCCTTTCTCTTCCTTCTCTCTAAAATATTCAACTGTAAATTCAACATTTCCTAGAAATTGACAGAAAATCTAGAATCTGGTATCGAAATTCAAACGAAGTCGAAAAATTCAAACTTACCCAGAAACTCAGAAAATTTCCAAAATCCAGCTCATTATTTTGTTATTATTATTTTCTGATCTGATCTTAGCCGGTCACATTGTTTTTTAGTTTTATTAATTTGCAAAAGTTGTATTATGTAATGCTAATAAATAGTCTTTGAAAGCTTTAATTCATTACATGTTTCCATCCATAAATTCCAATGCTAAAAGTTTTACCATGCTATGTCTCTTATGAAATTTTGACCATAAAGCAGATTGGAAAAAGGCAAGTTTTTGTTTGAGGGTAAAAGATGTTGCGTTTAACTTGGGTACGGGGGCAATGGTTCAAAACTGTCTCAGCCATGCCCTTTCTTTGCCAGCTTGGCATCAACCGTAACTGTTTGCTGATGCAAGATTCTTGCAAGCCTCTTGAATATCGAGCATCTCAGGCAGCTTTGTAATAACCATCCCATTCTGATAACTGTTGAGGAAGGTTCTGTTGCGGGATTTGGTTCCCATGTTGCACAGTTCATTGCCCTTGATGGACAGCTTGATGGAAGACTTAAGGAAATATTATCATGTACCCTGTAAGAATTATGCTGTTCAGACAAAAAATGGAATATTTAGATGAAAAAAGAAAAGAAAGAAAGACACATCAATGAAACTATTTTATCGATGTGCGCGATAGCACCCACGTCCTTATGTTTTTAGATTTGTGTAATGATACTTATCCCTGTATTTACCTGTCAATTTGTAGAGACATATCTTGTGTGGGGGTGAGGGGGGGGGGGGGGGGGGGGAGGAGAAGGGTGTCGATGGAGGAGACTGGGAAATATTTTGTTAAACATTCCTCCCTATTCTGATGATTTACTGAATGAATTTCTACAGTGGCGACCAATTGTCTTACCAGACAACTATATTGAGCATGCATCTCCCAAACAACAGCTTGCTCTTGCTGGGCTAACTGGACATCACATCGCTGCAACCGTATTAAATCTTCATGGACAGATCCGTGAAGCCCTACTTTTGATGTGCTAGAATGCTGTATATAGTTTTCCATATTGGATTCTTTATGCACCCCAAGAAGGCGAGAAGGTAAACAAAGAATGAACAATAGAATCTCTGGAAGAGTATCAATTAGGGTGTATTAATGATCCTTTTGTCTTGATGAGTCCTTTAACTTGTATAGTTCTGCAATATGTGCCATATAATCACATTCAATTTTATTGATTCCATGATGAATGTGATTATTTTTATATATGTCAGTCAGTTGCAGCATTGGCCAAAAGAGAGTTTAAATTAAATCAAGCTGGTATTCAAATCCACACAAAAATTAATGTGAGACAGTTTTATGCCAATCAAGATTTTGAAGGGATTGTGGTATATTTTGCCGTTCCTCATTACCATTTTCAATCTCATTACCGTTAATCTCAAAGAATGCCTTAAAAAGTATCGGAGCCTATGCCCTGGAAGTCATGCGGCTCAATTAACCTAGGAAAAGAAAAAAGCAATTAGCTTCAAAGCTTGCAAGTGGAGCTTGTTTATTTAACAATAAATGACTATGATCAAGTTAATAACAATTAGTTCAAGATTATAAACTAAAAAAATTTACTTCTTTCATCTATATGAATCAAGTTGAACGAGGGTTGAGGTACAAGGATGAACTCGAGTTTCTCAAATTTAGGCATCGGCTGATCAGCTGGACTCTTATCAGAAAACGAAATCATGGTGAAAATGCAGAGATGGGAATTCCCAAATCCAGAAAAAGTCTGGACATCCTGTGATTTGCTGCATGCTTGGCCATCTGGAATCTGTGGATTTGGTGAATGTCTGTCAGTGTCAAGCGCTACTTTGGTAGCAAATGACAAAAGTTTCTAAAGTATTCATCATCTTAATTTTCTCAGTCTGTCGGGGAAAAGCTAAGCTACTAATATAACAGACAAAATTGTTCATATTACAACTATACAGATACTAAAGTAGAGGTATGAAACTGTTTCCATAACAGTGACTCCAGTCCCCTCTCACGGGATACTGCTAGAAACAAACATCTATGTCTTAGATTTCTCTAGAAACATTTGAATAAACAAAATATTTTTTGTTTCTTTTTTTTTTTTTAACTTAAGTTCATAATCTACTAATTAACAATGTGTCATGTGTATAGAACAAATTTAATAAAGTCAAAGAATTGCATCATTTTCTTTTTTTTTTTTTTATCAATAAAAGTTTTTGAATTTCACTTAATACATTCTTTTTTATAACTTATTCAAACAGATTTATTTATATTTATCATCTTTGTATGCATTAAGTGATAAGTAAATCATTACTAAAAATAAAAACACAGTAATAAAATTTTTATTTTTTATTTTTTCCCCTTTTCTTTTGTTTTTGTCAAAAGATTTGGATTTTTTAACTTTATTTTAAAAATAGAAATTAACGGTTAGAAAATATTAAAAAAATATAAAAGAAAAATGGGGAAAAAAGAACACATGAAAAGAAATCTAAAACGACTTTTACTTATATAAAAAGTATCAAAACTATTGCTTTTATTTTAAAAATATATATAAGTGATAAAACTCTGTAATTTCTTAATTTTTAATTAAAAGTTTTAATCACAATTAAATAAAATTTTTGTTATATATCACACAGAAAAGTTCAAACAATAATTAAACCGGAAAACGGAACTCCAACCGTTTCAATTCAATCAGACAAACAGAAATGAATTTCCCCCAAGTTCTCGAAGAACCTGGCCCACTGAGCAACACCACGTCAGCAACGTCCCAATGTTTAAGGGCCCGCAAATAGAAGTAGACCCACAAAACCCGCTCAGTTTTTGAACCAACCCCCTCGCCTCTCTCCGACAGTTTCAGAAATTTGCTCCCATCCCCCTCTCTCTCTTCTCTGTGTAAATGACAGGCAAAACAAAAAAAAAAAAAGGCTGTCAGTTAAAAGGAAAATATAGAAAGTATGATTTTGAAATAATTTTTTTTTCTTTTTAAAGGAGTGTAGGAAAGAAAAAATCTGACCCTTTCGCTTTCCCAACATCCCGGGGAAATCTGAAATTTCAGACCAACTCCTTGCCTCGGAAACTGTCTCCGGCGCGGGAGCTTTGAGGTCCGTAACGTTTTTTAGTTTCTCTCATTTCCATTTCATTGATTGTTAAATGATGGTATAATGGCCTTCTTTTTCTGTTGGATGTAAGATTTTTACGTGCATGGGTTTTAAAAATGGAATCAAAATGATGGAACAAAAAACTTAAAATGTGAGAAACTGTTCTATATCTTTATCGTTTTTCTTTATTGTTTCTAAAGAAGGGTAATGAAGATTTTTCCAAAGGTACAAAATATTTTTTTTTCTCTCTCTTTTTCTATGTTGAATGATTTCATTTGCTCTGTCTCGTATTTTGGATTTTCATTCCCCCCCCCCCCCCTTTTGGTTTACCATATGAAGAAAACGTGATAAAAAATTGTTTTCCTTTGCATGATGCAGATATGAAATTTTATTCTGCACCCTTTATTTCTAATAAAAAGAATCTATCTTGTAGAATTGATTTTTTCTTTCTTGGACATTCTGGGATTCCTTTATGATCCAGTCCACCATAAACCATTCATCTGAGAAGATTGTTAATATTTTCATTGTTTTATGAGATGCCCAATAATAGTTTCAGGCTTTCAGCATGGGCAGATCAGATAAACTTTATATTAGCTTTCTTTTAGACGGTCCTGCTTGTATTATATGATGTTTTTATTTGTAAATTACCCATCACTTGTATCCCATTAGTTTTAGTGATTAATTCTCTCTTTTATCATGCAGTTATTTCATGATTCATGACTATCTTGCTTCTTAATTACATTATATTTGCCTTCACAAATTCCACATACATACACACATGCATGCATGCATGCATACATACAAGTTCTCCTTAGTCCTTAATACGCTCTCCATGTGATTTGGCAGCTTCATAGAGACATTTTACGCTTTGCATGATCTCTTCTTATGTGATTAAGAGGGTGTTATAGGATACAGGTGTTGTGGTCATTCTAGATTATAAGATCAATGTAAAAATTTTTGCCCTTGAATCAGTTATGGAAGACATCAGAGGTCCATTCAAGGGGATAATCAAAGACATCAAGGGAAGAAGGACATGTTACAAGGAAGATTGGGTCAGTGGATTTTGCTCAGGCTTTAGGTATGTCTTGTTATGATGTTTTTGGTACTACTTTATGTTCCTCAGGTGGAGATTTTCATTTTGATTCATATTTCATTTTATATTTCTATCAGGATATTAGCTCCGACTGCCTATATCTTCTTTGCTTCCGCTCTTCCTGTCATTGCCTTTGGAGAGCAATTGAGTCGAGATACAGGTACTGCATTTGTTTGTCTACTTAAATGAGAATCATTAAAAGCCAGCATGATCTAGGATGAAAGTTACTTCAATGCAAATCCTTTTATGTCAAAGAGTATAAATGCTGGATATTAGTTTTGAAACTCATTTATCCTCTTTTGCTTGAGTTTATGGCTTTTCAAGAACAAGCCTTAAGACTGTTTTTCTTGTTTTAGATGGCACTCTCAGCACGGTGGAAACGTTGGCTTCTACAGCTATTTGTGGAATCATTCACTCCATTTTTGGTGGGCAGCCTCTGTTGATAGTAGGTGTTGCAGAGCCAACAGTTATAATGTACACTTATTTGTACACTTTCAGCATCGGAAGGCCAGAGTTGGGCAAGGAACTCTTTTTGCCTTGGACTTCTTGGTAATGGATATAATTCCCTCTTCTTTTTTCTTCCCTTCTTGATTAGGCAGAAATATTCTTATTGTCTAATTTCTTTCTTTTGTTTTCCTTCCCAGGGTCTGTGTATGGACTGCTCTGCTGCTCATTCTTCTTGCTATATTCGATGCATGCACCATAATCACCAGATTTACTAGAATTGCAGGAGAGCTTTTTGGCATGTTGATAACTGTTCTTTTCCTCCAAGAGGCTGTTAAGGTATTGAATAACTTATGCAACAATCAAGGTGCAAGGTTTATGATGACAGAATCCTGACCCTGATAATGATAATTTTTGGATCATAGGGAGTTATCAGTGAATTTAGTATACCCAAAGGTGAAAATCCTAAGTTGGAGAACTATCAGTTCACCTGGCTATATACAAATGGGTTGCTGGCAGTCATTTTCTCCTTTGGGGTTCTATTAACCGCCCTAAAGACACGAAAGGCAAGATCATGGCGTTATGGAACAGGCAAGTCAACCAACTAATTGGGATTAACTGATTTGATGGTGTCACCCTAGAAATTTAGTTTATGTTCGTTTCTCTTAAATCTTGCATTTAATGGCTCTGGTTTCAGGTTGGCTTCGAAGTTTTATTGCAGACTATGGGGTTCCCCTAATGGTCTTGTGTTGGACAGCATTGTCTTACTTAATACCTGGACAAGTCATTTCTGGGGTTCCCAGGAGGCTGCTCTGTCCACTTCTTTGGGAACCTGCATCATTATATCATTGGACAGTGATAAAGGTACGAAGGTTGTGAATCCATATTTTGTTTGTTTTCCTTCCAGAGATTTTATGTTTTTTGTAACCGTCTCTAAAATCTATTACCATAAGCTATTATCTAGGAGCATTCCGTTGAGGATCTAGAGTATTTGTTTAGTGAATTCCTGGTTTTTCTAATTAGATGAACTAAAGACAAACCTATACTTAATCATATCTCTTATTACAGGATATGGGAAAGGTTCCAATTATGTACATCTTGGCTGCCTTTATACCAGCATTGATGATAGCAGGTCTATACTTCTTCGATCACAGCGTCGCTTCACAGATGGCACAGCAAAAAGAGTTTAACCTCAAAAAACCCTCTGCTTACCACTATGATATCTTGTTGCTCGGAGCTATGGTACTTGACTGATGCTTCTGACCTATGCTCTCTCTGTGTCCCCCCCTTCCCACTCCCCTACAAGTTATATTTTCAAATCTATGTTTTTTACTAATTTTAGGCTTAAATGCTTCTTGTCAATCATGGTTTCAGACTTTGATTTGTGGGTTGCTGGGACTTCCTCCTTCAAATGGTGTCCTTCCACAATCTCCCATGCACACTAAGAGTCTTGCGGTTCTCAAGAGGCAGGTGGGTTGCTGTACTTTTAGAAACTATGCTCTTAATTTTTAACTAGTTCCTGTTAATGTGGATTCTTAGACTATATAACCCATGAATGCAGTTAATTCGGAAAAAAATGGTAAAAAGTGCCAAGGAGGGCATGTTGCAACAAGCAAGCAACTCAGAAATATATGGCAGAATGCAAGCCGTGTTTATAGAAATGGATGCATCTCCTGCTGTAAGTACCATAGGCTTGTAGGATGGCTTATACTATTTGCCATATACACATGCATGCAGGCATGTTTGATTGCAAATTCACTGAGCATAATATGGATATCGTTGCAGCATATTTCAGTGGACAAAGAGTTGAAGAACTTGAAAGAGGCTGTGATGAAAGGTGATGATGGGAAGGATGCAAAAGAAAATTTTGATCCTGATAGACATATTGATGCTTTTTTGCCTGTTAGAGTTAATGAGCAAAGAATGAGCAACCTGTTACAGTCATTCCTTGTGGGAATTTCAATGTGTGTTCTGCCTGTAATAAAAATGATTCCTACCTCGGTACTCTGGGGATATTTTGCCTATATGGCCATTGACAGCCTCCCAGGGAGCCAGTTCTGGGAAAGGCTGTTGCTACTCTTCATCACCCCTAGCAGGCGTTACAAGTAAGTCATTGTACCTTAAAAGTAACCATAAAATACAACCTAGACATTTTATGGAATAATGTGTGACGACTAAGCTAATTTCCTTGTGAAGGTTTGGGAAATTTCCTGAATTTAAAATATTTTTAATTTCCTTCAATTGCGATTAAGCAAACTACCTTGTGGGAAAGAGGACTTATCTAGTTTCTCGTTTGAACTAAAACAACAAATTAAGCTTTTCCCTACTAAAAGGGGTTGGCTAGACTGATCATTTTTTGTCCTTGTTCGCCATTGAGGATCAAATCCACAGTAAGCTCAGCTGCACTGACGTGCTTTCTTTAGTTCTTCTTTTGAAGTGAAATAAAGCTTTATAAATGCAGCCTAAAAATCCTTTAGTGTGTTTAAGGGGGGTGATATAGGTGTAGTTTAACTTTGATAACTAACTAAATGTGATGGTTGATGTGGTTTTGCATCTTATTTCATTGTATCAGTGTAGTAGGTGCAAGTTTATGCTTTCTGTCATTAACTCTTCCTACCTGGATGAACAGAGTCCTGGAAGGTGCTCATGCATCATTTGTAGAGTTGGTACCTTTCAAGTCCATTTTGATATTTACACTCTTCCAATTTGTATATCTTCTGGTATGTTTTGGGGTGACATGGATACCTATAGCTGGAATACTGTTTCCACTACCGTTCTTCCTTCTGATCAGCATCAGACAGCACATCCTTCCAAAGCTTTTCCAGCCTGAACATCTTCAGGAACTAGATGCTGCTGAGTATGAAGAATTTGCTGGTACACCAAGAAGAAACTTTAGTACAACACTCAAGGTACATCCTTTTTGGTCCTTCCCTGTAATTTTGTATCTTTTCATCTGGTCAACTTTTTTTTGTTCTTTCCTAGCATAGCTTTTCAGCTATGTTAACAGAATTTTATGCTTTTTAATCCTGTTGGGAAATTAATGTTTGGTTTCCACCTCTCATACGAACTTGTGGAAAGATTTTCCTCTCCCTAATTGAAAAGTTTGTGTTTTAGCATAGATGAGAAAATCTTCCTTTTGTGCTCCAGGCCAGTTCAAGATATAAATGTTCATTTGATTTGAATGGTGTTATACTTCTTTCTTCTCCGTGTGCACTTTTGATTCACAGACATAATAATGTGTAAACAGGAAAGGGGACCACCTGATTTTGGCAGTGAAGAGACTGAAGATGACTTTTATGATGCTGAGATATTGGATGAGATGACAACCAACAGAGGAGAGCTGAGGCTTAGAACTGTAAGCACCAAGGAAGAAAGGTCATATCAGGTATATCTTTAAATTTCCATTTTATGCTGTGCTATTTTATTACCGGATTGCAATTTTTTCATCCTCATGCTTGAATATGGCATGGTTTGCAGGTTCATCCAGAATAATATGCCCGAACTCATTGCAAGCAACATTAGTATTTAGCGTATGATGAGCCTGCTATGATGAGGATTGCTAAGTCCAGATTATAATTATTGGCCGGATTGAAGAAATAATCATGATCTTTAGGAAAGAATGTCTGGGAATGTTGTTGCCATGTATAGCCAGTTATTTATCCAAAAAGCCGGGAAAGAAATTGACAGAAAAAAAGAGTTCAACCCTTTTGTGGCACGAGCAAGAAACAGAGGAAAGGAAGCATTGAACTGTATTTCTTCCCTTTCTTTCTTTGTTCTTTTATTTGTTCATCCATAAAAATTAGGCATATCTGCTAAAATATTAACAGTGAGGCTAAGGGATAAGTGATATGGAGAAAAGGGGAGGGTGTGACTCTTTTTATTACTCAACAGATGAGGGGATGCAGTACTTTTCATGTTGAAATTGGAATGGCCAATTCTTTTATCGGTTTTATCTGAGTAGAAATATTTTTTACCAGACAAAATTTGTTTAAACTAACATATATTTATATTGAATCATGAATACGGTTTGGTTTCTTGAGCTCTTTTCATGGTATTTTGATTTCTTCATGCTTTATGGATTCAAGATAGATTGTTATTAGATTTGATAATTTTAAATACAATATACTAAGATGATGCCAAAATAATAATAAAAAAATATATAAAAATGATACGATTTAAATTATAACTAAAATTGTATATGGGTAGTTTAATAAAAACAAAAAAATGTATTTTGTATTTAGCATATAAACGCAAATTGTGGCTTGATCATTTTTAAATTTTATATATTAAATACAAAATAAATAAATATAAATACATAAATTATTAAGTCTAATTATGGTACGTTATGTTTTTGATAATTTTTACATTAGTTTTGGGTATCAGCGTGTCATATAGCATGAATAGTTAAGTGTCCAATAAGTATGAGATATGTATATTTTCATAAAATTTTTTTGTCCGAGGGTTACGATCGCTTTGATGAGAAATTTTTGGAGTTGATATCAATTTTTTTTTTTTGTAGGGTTGTGATTGATCACTTAAAAATATTTTTTTTTTTAAATTTTTAAAATTAATTAAGATTTACTAAAAAATGTTTAGGTTTACGAAATCAATGTTGGGTTTGAAATTATAATTACGAGTAATGAAGATATTAGCATTCTCATGTCGTCTGTTTGAATAACGATATCAATTAAATATGTGTTATCTTTTAATTTTGACGATATGATCTTCTTCATATTTAAATTTAATTTTTTAAAATTTATTTATGAAAAATATTTTTTGTTGTGGAATTATTATTATTATTATTATTGTATTTTATAAATTCTCTAACACTTTGGTATAATTTATATAAAATTTATATTCAAAAAAATTTCAAAAAAATTAATCATTTACAAAATTCTAGAAATTTTGTTATAGGATATTTTGTTTATTTATTAAAAATGATTTTAAAATTATTCTGACTTTTCAATGAAACCCTAAATTTTTTAAGCTTATTTTAAGATTACCTTAACTTTCTGACGAGATTCTAAGAAAATTATTTTTATTAATGATAATTAAGAAAAATAAGATTTTTCAAATTTTTCTTAAAATTTTTACTTGAGAGATTTAATTAAACATTTAATTAATTCTTATTGTGATTTTTTTGGTATTATTTTCTATTTACTATTTTCATCATTTTTCTTATTATTTTAAATAAATAAATAATTTATTTATTTTTTAATTATTCCAACTCTTTGTTAAAATCTAGAAAAAAATTTTTATTTTGTAATAATTAAGAGATTCATTTTAAAGAAACACTTATATTTTTTATCTTTATCGTTCATTGTTTTTTTTTTTTAAATAAAATTTTATTTTAGTAAAAGGTAATTTTTAGATTATCCCATGGTAAAATCTAAAAATATTTTTTTCTTTTCAATAATTAAAGCAAACCAAACTCTTTTAATTTTCTTTAAAATTTATATTTTTTTAAAAGATTTATTCAAATAAAAAATTGTTATTAGTTTTTTTTTAGCAAAAATAATTTTTTGAATTATCCCAACATCTTAGCAAAATTCAAGAAATATTTTTACTCGTAAAATTATGGGAAAATAAAACTCTTTTTATTTTTCCTTAATATTATTATTATTATTTTGTTTATCTTTTTATTTTAAATTAAAATCTTAGTATTTATTCTTTATTTGTTTTACATTTTTTATTATTGCTAATAATTATTTATTTTTAATAAAAAAAATAAAAATAAAAATATTATAAATCATAAGTTGTAGAAAAATTCTTAAACAAATAACAAAAATAAAATAAAATCAAAAAATAAAAATAAAATAGAAAAGGAAAACTAACCAAATGAGTCGGGTCGTCAGCGGGTTGAGGCCAAAATCTTACTTAGGTAAAGACACCAAAACAATATTAATTTGACAGGCCTATAAAAGGTCATTTTTTATTTTTTATTTTAATTTTTCCTTTCTTATTTCTTTTTAAAAATTGAAAGCTTCTCTATCTAAAACAAACCCATTTTGTCAGCCACTGTTGTTTCTAGATTCTGGTCAATTGCCACTGTGCACTAGTGGCCAGAATCTTTAACCAATTGGAAAATTCAAACATTTTTCCAAATAACATTCTAGTTTCTAGATACCAATGATCGAAAAATTTAAACAATCATTGAAAAATTCATATTTTCTAGATTTTAGCAACCAAAAAAATTTTTAAAAAAAATTCAAAAAATTCCTAAGACTATATTGGGAAGCTCTTAAACACTTATTTCAACCCAAATTTCCTAAAAACAAAATCCTAAGTCTATTAGATTAAGATTTCTAATTTTTTTTCTTTTTTTTTACTGCTAGTTCCTTTATTTAAAAAGGATTGTGATTTTTTTCTTGTAGTTTTTTTATTTCATTTTTTAGTTGTTTTTTGTTTTTGAGGAATTGATTGTTGGGGTTAGGGTTAGTGTTCTGTGTTGGTGCTAGTGAATGTTGGGTAAAGGCAAGGGTTTTGGTTTAGGCTCGGGTTTAGTATAAGTGCTGTGTGTCTGAAACTAGAGGTAGGTGCAGGGTTGTGTAAGTGATGATGCTAAAATGGTGTTTTTGGGTAGGGGTCGAGTGCATGATACATGTGGCTCCATGTTTTTTTTTTTTTTTTGGTAGAATCACCTCTATAAAAAATTTTGTGAAAATTTCCCAAAAAAAATACTTCTTATCTCCGTATCCTTATTGTCTTTGCCAATTGGCTCCATCTATAAAGTTACTTTGGAGATCAAAATCTCAAATTTTCTAAAATTTTTGTAGACTTTCTAAGATTTTTATAAGTTTTGTTGAAATCTCATAGGCCAAAAGTCAAGCAAGGAGACTGTTAGAGAAACTAAAAATTTCAATAGAGATTTTCAATACATTAAATGCACTATGACTTTGGTGAAAGAAGAAAGAAAAACGGGGAAGAAAGAAAAAGGAAGAAAATGTTAGAAAATAATAATAATAATAATAATAATAATAATAATTTTATTTAAGTTAAATGAGACTGAGCAAAATGATATCTACAAATACATTAAGGTGAAGTAAAGAGTCTTTGTTAAATTCGTTTTATAGTGAGTGTTTGACTTAACTTATAAAAGAATTTATCTACTATAAAAGCAGAAGTCATGTATTTGATTCTCAAAATTTTAAGAATTTTAACTTACACGAGAAGTAGGTTTAAGCTTTTAAATGAAGTATTTTAAAGAGGTGCTAATGAAATTTCTTTTCATTCTTACTATACTTTTCAATAACTTACAAAATTATAAGTAGGATTATATTACTTCACATTATTTTCATTTTGATTATATTTTTACTAAATTCATTTATTTTTTATTATAATTAATAAAAAAATCTCCTTATTTTATCTATATTTCACCTAAAAACTTTTCATTTAATTTATTAATAAAGTTGATTATTTTATTTTTATTAAAAATATAAAAAACATTATCAAATTGTCTTTTTAACATTCTCATGCAACCATTGATGCTTGGTAAAAGAAAATGTACTTCATAATATTGAAATGTACACTTACCTATTTGGCTTAGTTAGAACAGTATGAGCTTCTATACAAAGTGTTATTAGAATAAAGATGTTCTAAAAATGCAGTAAAAAGTTAAAATAATATTTGGAAACTTAAAACATAAGTGATGTAAAATGTTGAGAAAACTATTTGATAGTATTTTTATATATTTTTATATATTTTTAACAAAAAAAAATCAACTTTATTTACAAATCAAATCACAAGTTTTTAGGTGAAAAAATAAATAAATAAAATAAAAAGACATTTTTTTTAATCTTATATATTAATTTTACTCATTTAGATGCTATGTGGCATTTAATGAGTTCCTCTTTTTATTTTTTTATTTTTATTTTCATTTTCATCTTCATCTTTTTTTCTCTTTTTTTTATTGCAATCAATTACTCTATCCAATATTTGTTTGTATTCAATTAAACCTTTATTTAAAGGCTAAAGGCTCAATTTGAGATTAAACGTTTGGATGGTTGCTCAATTCAGGACTAAACATTTTAATTTATACAAATAAGGATTAAATGTTATCGACTTATCACAATGTAAGATTTTTTTCAACATAAATTGAGATGTGAAAGATATGCACCGTAATAGCATGTAAAAAGATTAAAAGCCAGATGATTTGGCATTTTAATGCTGATTTGACTCTTTTTTCCAATATTCGATAAAAAAACAAATATATTTATCATATATTTATAAAACCAGTGACAAAAAAGTTATTAACATATAAAAAAACAAAAAAAAAACCCAAAATCATCTAGAGATTTATGCTTTATCCTAAATCACCTAGACAATATTTGGATTTAGGGTTCATTGTTAACCTTAAATATCTTTTTTGTTTCAATCATTGATTTTAGAGTTTTATCCAAGAATCTTCATTGTTTAATCATGGAGTTTATAAATTTGAAAAGTTATTTGCAATCATATTAGGCTCTAGAAAGAGAAATTTAAAAGGTTAGTTCTCGTTGTTTTGTTGTTAAATTTGTATAAGGTAAATAATATTTAGGCTTTTTTTATTCTTATGTTCTTCGTAGTTAGCCATTTTATTGTTCAGTTGTTTTTCATTGGTCAAATTTCTATTAATTCTTCATTTGAGCATAA